CTGTATGTTCATCCAATTTATTAATGCGATAAATAAATCATGATGATGAGTCAAAAGTCCTATAAATAATTTAATACTAAGCCTATATGGGTCACATGCACAAGCTCCAGCTAAGAAAATTCTACTACTTTAATGTGAGTAATTATTCTTAAAATAAATCAATAATGAAATTAAGTAATATTCATGGGAAATATTTTATTGAGAGTACTTATCTAAGTATGCAAATATATCTATATATTTGGGAATATATATCCCAAGTATGGATAATATCTTTATTAAATGTTAATTGTTTATTTAACTTATTCAAATATATGAGATATAATTTAAATAAAAATTCCCTAAAAAATGCATGGAAGATTTTATATTAGGACCAAACAGTATTAAATAAAAATTTTCAATCAAATGGATCAAAGAAATTGGATTTTGTTTAAGCAGGCTCAAGTTGAAGTGTTGTACAAGTAAAATAATTGTAAGTCACCTTTTGAAAGAGCTAAACATGAATTATATGAATTTTAAGTTTAATTGAATATCACACGCAATCGAATTAAAACTTTATTGTTATGAAAGTTAATCGAGTGTCACAATTAAATTTAATTATTTAAAATTTTGAATTTTAAATGTGATCCAATTGATAGTTATAATTTAATTTGCAACTTCGATCATTCCTTAATGCTTATAAATAAAATTAAAATTATCCATAGTACTAATGATCAATTAATTTTATAAAGAATTCATCATAGTTTTTAAATTTTAATATATCTTATAATACATTTTTAAATTTTTTATTACTTTAACAGAAATTATCTAAGGATTTTTATCATTGCAATTTGATTTAGTGTGTCTCCTAACAAGAGACAAATAAATAAAATTAAAAGTAGCTCTCTTCCCTTCTCAATCCCAAATTAATATCAAGAATATATATACATATATATAACATAAAAAATGTAAAATTTTCATGTATATCCATCTAGCTATGTATATATATATGTTAAAATAATGATGATTTTGAAACTTGTATAAAAGTGCAGCTAAAATTTAACTTTTATTGTCCAGATTTTTCCTACCATATATTTCAATAAGGAGGAGATTCTCAAGCAACCCTAAACAAGTAAATTATTAAAACAAGAAAATATATACAGGATGTCTACCTAAAATTTATTAATTCACAACCTTGATTCAAATCTCCTATAAATATCACTCATTTTCCCATCTTTCAATACAAACTATTTCTCTCCATTAATCTCTCTATTAATTTCTCTCTGCACATATTCAATACTTGTAACCATGGCGAGAAAGAGTAAGGGACGGCAAAAGGTTGAAATGGCGAAGATGAATAATGAAAGCAATCTCCAAGTCACTTTCTCCAAACGTCGAGCCGGACTTTTCAAGAAGGCGAGTGAATTGAGCACTCTATGTGGGGCTGAGATTGATACTATTGTCTTCTCACCCGGTCAGAAGGTCTTCTCTTTTGGCCATCCTTGTGTCCAAACTGTGTTGGAACGTTTTGTTAGTGGTAATCCACCACAAGCTGCATCTGGAACCATGAAACTCATTGAGGCTCATCGGAACACTAGTGTCCGTGAGCTAAAGATGCAGCTCACTCAGGTTATTTTCATTAATTTCCTTTCTAATAAAACATTTTCGGTATAAATAATATATATTAATTTTACCACATGTACAGGTTCTTAACCAACTCGAAATCGAGAAGAAGTGAGGCGAAGAGCTTAACCATATGAAAAAGGCAAATGAGAATCAATGTTGGTGGATGGCTCGCAAGAACGATATGAGCTTGACACAACTTCAACAACTGAAGGCCTCTCTCGATGAACTGAAGAAGAATGTGGCTAAGCATGCTGAGAAGATTTTGATTCGTACCCAAAATAATCATCATCCTCATCATCATCTTCCTCATCCTCATCCTCATCTTCCTCATCCTCATCCTCATCATCATCATCCTAACCATCCTTTTTTTCTGGGAAGTTCTTCCGGTGGAGCAAGTCTTCCTTTTGAGACAAAGCCTGGTGGATTCAGTTCTAGCATTGTTCCATTCAACAATCCGAATATGATGCCTCCAAAGTATCATGGATTTGGCCAAGGATTCTTCTAAGCGAACTTTTTTTATTTATTTAAAATGAATTTTTAATTTTTTCGGCACAGTAAATGCCTCAGTATTAATCTTTATATTATGTTGGGTTTTAGGATTTTAGCTTCTAACGAGTAAGGGTTTGTTCTGGAAAATAAGAGGCGTCTTATTTTATGTTATTTGTTTAAGAACTTTGTAATCGTTCAGTGATACTGCATCTAGTTCTTAATATAAGTTTTCTTCCTTAAAACCCTTTGCGCTTGATTATATATATATATATGTATATATCTCAAACATTCTACTACGCTTTTTTTTGTCATGCGTTGTGACACTATCAACTGCTACCTATATAACATATCGTAATATGTATTATTTTAATATATAAACAATTATTATCAAAATATTTACTCATTTATATTCACCATACAAAATGTAAAACACATATATACAAGAGTTTTGCCTGTATTATATATATATATATGTGTGTGTGCGTATATATATACAGTGATCTATTATCTTTTATTTATTGTACACCATACCTCGAGAGATTGAGGAAAGTTTAGAGCTTGAGGTAAGCATACTAGAATTTTTCAATATCAAAAGCTTTCAGGTTAGAGATAGATATTAGATTACACAAGCATGAGTTTTTGTTATTCGGGTAAATTTATGGAATAATTAGCATGCGCAAGAATTAAATTACGTAAAAATTATAATCTACTATTTTCTTATGTAAAATTTAAACGTATGTATGATACTAAATGACTGTATGAATCCAAATAAAAATAGAACATATAGGTTGTAGAGAAGGTAAGTAGTAGATCTATATATAGATCAACTTTAAAAGTATAATATAGTTAATTTATTCTTATTTAACAAAAAATTTGTAAGAACGACATGATAGGGAAAATAAAAATAAATTGTGCATTAAAAAGATGATGCATGTACAGATATAAGTGCGCGTTTTATTGAAATGTATATATGTATTTAATCCTAAATCTGGCTATTACACTCCTTTATCGTATTTGGAGCTATGTTGGAATCATAAATCTACTCAGCATATTATTCTCTTTCTCAATTTTTTTTTTATTTCTATTCCATTTGAATTTCTATTTTCTATATTTTTACACTGGATCTACAACTCGTGTATGTCTACAATTTATATCTTTTTCCCATGAAGACATCCTTCTCTGCTCTAAGTTCGGTGTAGGTATCAAATATTGATCATATTATAGCTATTATGTGAAGACAGCTACTAAATTTTGTAATAAAAAATTTCCTGGCAATGCTTCTGAAATGCAGGGGAGACTGCATATGGATTGGATAGATTGGTTATATTGTTAGCAGGAGCTAGTAAATAAGAGATGTCATAGCTTTCTTGAAGAAAACTATCGTACAGTGTGCTCTCACCCGAGCACCATCTGAATTCGATCCACAGCAGCTAAAAGATCTTTCAATCTAAAACCAATAATCTCTTCTGTTTTTAGTCTGAACATATTTCTAAACCAGAGTTTCAAACATATATTTATACGGGAGAATTTGACTCTGCTTCCCGGTTCATGTGATCCATTCAATTTTGATTAACGAGGGTCTTATTTTTGTATACTTATCTTACTATTTTTTAAAAAACTCGTAACAAAGAATGAAATTTTTTCGCTAAGGAAAACATATTTCTTACCAGATGCTTAATCAATGCATATAAGTGTGATATTCAGTCTTAAAATTTTATTTCAAAAGATTTATTGTTAAACATATTTTCAGACTAATTTTGTACACTGAAACTAAATATCTTTCAATTTTGAGAGCAAAATTAATCTTGAGAGCAATAAAGGAGGTCGATAAGGAAAAACATGCTAATAGATTTAAGATTAAATAGAAAAAAAAGAAAGAGAAATAGGAAGGGCTGCTGAATGATGCATTAACATGGCAATACTATTATGATATATTGTTTACATTTTGAAGCCTTATGAAACACAAACAGATATGCATGAAGAACATATTGCGTTCAAGGACAAAAACAGAACAAGAAGACTGGAATATAAAAAATATATAGACACGTTTATATCAATGAGATTATGTCAAATTCAATAATAACGATAGAATTTAACTTCTCTCTTTCGTTATACCGAGTGCATGACATATTCATTATCAGATAAGATCATCTTTTTGACCATGATAAAATCGAGCCTTCTGAGTTACTTGAGAACAACTAAATGATATGTTAATACGGGAAATGCATAAAAGGCAAAAACTCTTGAACTATTTCACTTTAGTTAATTTATGCATGATGTAAGAGCATTAGGTTATATAAATCTTCATAAACTTTCTATTTTGTGTTCGAAGATCGTGGCTATTATGATCATTTCCATGCCATTAATAAATTTCTTCTTTGAGATTGAACCAAACTTGAATCAATAATTTATTCATGAATGCATCTAATAATAAAAACCAAACAAAAAAACTAAAATAAATAAATAAAAAACAAATAGATAGATCATATCGATGAGACTATCCAAGATCACCGTGCTCATACGATCATTGACAAACGAAGAATAAGTTTTTTCCTTGAGATGTAAGCAAATCAAAATTCATAAATGAATGTTTTACTATGTACTAGTAAGAAAGGTAAAGAATTCTTGATAGTATCAGAAATTTAAGTTTTGGATTATGTCAAGATATTCCTTACCTTATATTTTAATGAAAAAAGGATTCTAGCCAGAAATGTAAATGCATAAAAGTTAAGTAAATCCACCTAACTCAACTTGAATAGCCTCAAGTGGTACCTCCAAACCTTATAAATACCTTGCGTAGTTTACAATCGTCAATTGCAATAATAGTATACTTACATCTTCTCATCATAATCTCCATTATCTTCTTCTCAATTTGCCGAGGTTATCTTTTGTTATTTTCAGTTTTAGCAATGGCAGATGAGGGGACATCAAGTAAAAGTAAAGGTCATCAAAATATCGAGTTAATAAAGATGGAGAATGAAGCCAGTCTCCAAGTTACCTTCTCAAAACATCGAAGTAGCCTTTTCAAGAAGGCGAGTGAACTTTGCATTCTTTGTAGACCAGATGTTGGCCTTATTGTTTTCTCCCCTAGAAATAGGGCCTTCTGCTATGGCAATCCTAATATCGATATTGTGATTGATCGTTTTCTTAGTATTGATGTTTGTCCAGCTAAGATCCTAACAACGACAATGATACTCAACAAACAATCAGTAGGATCAATGAGGTGTTAGTAACTTATTTGTAATCTTTTTTTTATAATATCCATTTATGATAATCTAAAAATTATCATGAGTCACTAATACTTAAATCTATGATGTTACGTGATATATTTTGAATTTTTTGTTGGACTTTCAAATCTTTAGCGTAATTGCTTATCTAATACTGCAAATACATGAATATGTGTATATGATAACAGGCTCAAGACAAGGAGGAGGCAGCAAGGAAGCGAGGTAAAGAGCTCAAACAAAGAAGAAAAGGCTAGATGAAAGAGCTTTGGTATACGCATTCAATGGAAAAATTCAGCTTGGAAGAGCTTGAAGTTTTGGATGTTGGTACGAAGGCCTTGTGGAATGATGTTGCCGAACTTGCAAAGAAGCTAAAGAAGGAACAAGGTAACTCGAGTTCAGCTGAGGGTTCTCCAAGGGATGACGGGATGTTTTACTTAGATCCAGCAATGAAGGCCTTGATTTCTCTCCCCATGCATAGTATGCCCAGCAACCCAACTCATGAATATACCCCAAGCAGTACTAATTCAACTCCTCCCCTGAGTAGCTTCTGTAACCTAGACTCTGGCAATCCAACCATAATGATGATGAATAACCCGTTGAATGATTCAAGCATGGCGTTAGATCCTGTTGATGACTTGAAGGCCATGCCTAGGGATCTCTTCAATAATTTAGTCATGATTGAGTCAGATGATCCAATTGCAGCACTTAATGCAGGAGATAATCCAGACATAATGTCTTATGCCTTCGGGAACCAAATTGCAACAATGGATATTAATCTATCAAATGATCCAAATATCAGGCCTAATGAGTTTTTTAATCCGAGTACTATACCTCATGCACCAAATGATCCAATTAGCACAACATCCGATACTCTAAATATGATGCGTATTGTGCCAGATGATTCAAATCTAGACTCAGTATTTGATAGCTTCACTCTAGAGATGCTGTTTGCGGATCCATTGGATGATGAGAACTTCATTGTGGACAATCCAAATGAGGCGGCTAACAGTGATATTTCGAAAACAATGTCGCCTCCTCTTGCAGGGAATGTTCTAGGAAGCGGCCAAGGATTTTAATGACTAAGTTTGTTGATTATCTTGAAAAGAATCAAGGGCTAGTTTGAAGAGTTTCACTATCGTGTCTTTTGTTTTTGTTTGTCTTGTCTTTCAAACAATGCTTTGGGAATTTGGGATTTCAATTGGCTTGAGTTTTGTATTTGCTTACTTTCAGGTGGTGTTCTTGTGTGTGCGTGTGTGTGTGTGTGTTTTTTTTTTCTTTATAAATGTTGTCGTTGTTAGTCTTGGATCGAGTTAATAAGTATATGTGTGTTTCATGAGTGTTGTTTATTTTACATTCTTGTTAAGTACAATTCCGCAAATCTTTAAAAATATTTAATCTTCTATAATCACCCTATAAAGTACATTTATATGATAGTTCTGTCTCTTTATATATATGTGTGTGTATGTATATGTATGTATATATATGTTTATACAGTAGTCAGTTATCTCACATTTTTTGTAAACTATATCTCGAGAGATTTAAAAGATTTTAGAATATGGTATCAACACACTGAGTATATGAAAATATTGAAGCTCTTTAAGTACGTAATAAATTTATTATTTTTAGAAAGTTAATTATTACATTATATATAAATATATGTACGTGTAAATCTGTGACTTTGAAGAAAAAAGGTAAAAGATTATTCCGCATACTCATTTCGCTTCCCTATTCCATTATATGGAAATATATAAATCGTTGGTATATATTTAATTTGGTAGCATGCTTAAGAGTTTGTATAATTTTAGCTTGTATTTAATTTAAATTACAATACAAATACCACATATCTAAATTGGAAAAGAGTTATGATTCTAAATCAAATTCAAATTATAGTTTTTAAAAATCTTTAATATGAGTTTGGATTTTGTGATTGTATTAAAAATTCTGGATTCATTGATATAATGTAAAATAATTCAATTGACGTTTAGTCTCAATATCCGAATGTTAAAATGAGAATGCTTTTGTTATTATTAAAAAATATGTAAATAATTTATTATGAAAAATTATATATGTCATTCTCATATATATTAGTTTCAATATAGATATTCAAAAGGACAATATAATATTCTCATCACAGTTAAATGTAATAAATTATATGATAGATATAATTTATAATGTATATATATTTTTTTAAAAAATTATAATCTATCCAAAATGCAATAGATTGAAAGATCGATCATTCTCTTAAATATATTATTTTCAAATTTTAATATTCAAAATAATAAATAATGTGAAAGAGGTTATAAACTATTTAACTCGTCAGGATCTATTATATTTTCAAAAAGAATTATAATAGTTATTTACATATATAATATTCAACATACAAAACTTAGTAAATTAAAGATTGATCATTTTCTTAACTATGGCGAAATACTTTTAAATTTTATTATCTGAAAAAAAATATAGTATACTCATCGCAATTAGTAATAATAAATTACATGTGTAATAACATGTTAAAATTTATAAGCATTTTGCTATTTATATACTAAGCACATAATAAAATTTGAATGACGCGAGAGATTTCATTTAAGTCAATGTTCATTAAAAAAGATAATTCAATCAATTATTTTTAGTCAAATAAAAAGAATATCTTAGAAGCTCTATGTCAGATTATTTAGGAAAGATTCTAAAAACTTCAAGTGCATTTATTTAGACTAGTCTAAATTAGTTAAATTATATTCTCTCCATTATTACAAAATCCTAAAGGAGTAAGTAATTTAGACACAGTTAATTTAAATGCAGGAATACTTAAAAATTGTAATTATCAAATTGAGTAGTCTATAAACATACTTCATTCTACTTCATCCTTATTCAATCATTCAAATCATAAATTAATCTTTTTATTCGTGCTAAATTTATCCATGGAGCCTCCTTGGAAGTTAAAGGGACGCCAAATGATTGAGATGGTGAAGATCAAGAAGGCGACGAATCTCCAAGTTACCTTTGCCAAACGACCGGCTAGCATTTTCAAGAAGGCGAGTGAAATTAGCACACTTTGTGGCGCTGAATTTGCAGTGATTATTTTTTCACCTGCCAAGAAAGTGTTCTTTTTTGTCAATCCTTCTATGGAAAAGTTGATCAATCGATTCAGTGGCCTAATAGAACAACCTCCTTCAGCTAATAGATGTATGATGGATGCTCATCGAAATGCTTATCTCCAAGGGCTCAACTCACAGCTAAATAAGGTATAATCACTACCATGTCTTCATATATCTATACTATTTAATTTTTATAACTAATCCTTGAATTTTTTTTGGACATGATTATATATAATTAAAGCTTAATGCCCAACTGGATGCTAAAAAGAAGCGAAGTGTGGAGCTTAAGAAGGTGATGAAGGAGAATGCAAGTAAAGCCTGGTGGATGGGTTCCATAGATGACATGAACCTTTCACAGCTTCAGCAATTTCAAGCTGCTCTTGAGGAATTATACGAGAATGTTATAAAAGTTGCTAAAGAAAAAGATGCTGAAGAGGACAATATTAATCCTAATTCTGATGATCAGCTTTTTCTTGGAAGCTCTTCCAATAGAACTGGACTTCCATTTGAATCTATCCCCTTAAATGCTATCGTTGGTCCCAGAAACATGGTTAATCCGAACATGAATAGGGTTAATTCCAACATGGTTAATCCAAACGTGATTAGCCCCAGCATGATTAATCCTAACATGTTAATCCTGCAGCTTATATGAAGATGCTTCGTGACATGCTCAACAACAATAATCCAAACATTCCCTTGTCCAATTCCATGATTCCCAATAATCCAAACATGGTCTCTAATGTCATGCCTATCATCAGTAACCCTACAAACATGATGCTATCGGCGGCAAATCTGATGATCAACAATTAACAAAACATGGTTCCAGTCGATCATATGATGATGAACAATGACCAGAACATGATGGTGGGGGGATCGGATGCGATTAACGATTAAAACTTTATGTATACCAATGGTCTTAACAATGTGAACATGATGCCAGCTACAGGATATAATATGACTCAGAATAATGGTGGAAACGGGTAGGAGTATTTCAAAATTTGAAGTTTATGGGAATGTGTTTTGATTAGTAAGGTCACAGAGTGCTCATACAGCTTGACTTTCATATTTAAGCTATATTATCAATGGAATGTAAAGTGATATATTTTATAAATAAAGGATCTATTAGCTTTCATCTTAACTCTAATTTTACAGTACTATATGCTATGCATGCATTATAAATCTTATATAGACATGCATTGTTTAATACATATTAGGGCTTAGATTTCACCCCAAAAGAGAGAGAGAGAGAGAGAGAGTGTAACACCCAAGTAATTTAATTTTTATCTTACTATTTTTATTTTTATTTATTTGAATTTTTTATATTTTTAATTAATTTAATTTGATTTAATTTAATTTAATTTAATGAAAATAAAAATAATAATATTGATAAAATTGGGTAAAAATATTATTTGAATTTAATTGAAATTGATTTTGGGAAAAAGGGGTGAAAATTTAGATTATGGGGGTGTTTTTGAAAAGAAAATCAGAAATCGGGGGTCAAAACACAATTTAAAAAAGTTGTGCCACGTCAGTAGCCACGCGGCGGCCCGGTCAGTAGCCCCGGCCAACCAGGACACGCCGTGTGGTAAGAAAATGCTGACCAGGGGACTGGTCACGTGGGCGATCCGCGTGCGTGCGATCAGACGGCTCAGTTCCATTCCCGCGCGCACGGATGGCCCAGATTCAATCAGGCACGGACGGCCCAGATTGCATCGCGATGGACGGTCCAGATTTAATCCCAATTAAATTGCGATCGAACGGTCTAGATTTAATCTTGATGGACAGTTGAGATTAAAAGGCAAAGGGTATAAATAACCCCACCCACACCTGACCACAAAACCCTAGTCGCTAGTGCCTCGCCGGAGGAGCCGGCCACCGCCACCCGGCGCCGCACCGGGGAAGTTTTCGACCGCCGAGCGAGGTAACTTTTGTCTTCCTGGCTCCTTTTTCGATGCTGAGTCCGCCTATGGCCAAATCGGAGCCAAAACACCGGCCAAACGGCCAGAAAATCCAGCCGAAGTCCAGCGGCGCCATCGCGCCCCCCTATATTTTTGCCTCCGATGATGCCCTTCCCGGCCTCTGTTCGATGCAAATTTTATACCACTGTGATCACCGTTCTTTTCTCTACAGGTTGATATGAGCCAAACATCAAAACGCGACTCATGCCGGAGGAGCCGCCGCACCTGAGAGCACCGCTGCTGGTAAGTTTCAGTTTTTTGTGATTTTTTTGCCCACCAAGGGCCCTAGGGTTGTTTTATCACAGGGACCGATGCAAGTGTGGCCGAATTCGGCCAAAAACGGCCAACCCGAGGCGAATCGCTGCCGCTTGCGGCGGTGCCGTCGCCGGAGCACGGCGGAGCCGCCGTGCCAGAATTTCAATATTGGCCGAAAAGGGCCCTAGGTCTGATTTGAGATTTTTTGGGACACATGCAGGTACCGGTAGTGCGTTTCAGTTTTTCGGAAAAAATTCAGAGAAATTAGGGATAGCCTGTAGGCACACTGTAGAGTCAAATTTAGACCCCAAAACAAGTAAGGACCCCTCACCCTATTTCCTATCACGGTATTAAAGCTAAATAAATAATTAAACTGTACCTTGTGACTTTATAGATGTATAATTGATTAAGGTTGCCAATGGAGCCCGAGTCTAATACAGTGTTGGTCTGTTGTTGTTTGATCTAATTTTCAGTATTAAATGCAGTATGATGTTTGATGTAATTATGTTATGATCTCGTATGCATGAACCATGGTTTCTTTCATTATGGTTTGTATTATGGTGAACCCGGTACTGTATTGTCTTGTTTGGTGTCGATGAGTGGTTTACATATTTATGTATGGTTGGATGAGTGAGACCAAGGAAAATGGCAAAAAAGTTATGTGAATTGATGAGTTGAAAATGTGGACAGCCTGACTAGATATCCTAGAAGATGGTGGACAGACCGAGTCCGTAGGGAACCCTACCAGGAACGTGGTCTCTCATACCG